CTTCTACAACCTCTCCACCAAAGGATTTGAAACCAAAACCTTTCCCTCTTAGTAGAGCAATTTTTGGGAGGTGTCCAAGGTCTCCCTACCTTTTTTTATGGGTTGGAGTGAGTGACCCGAGAAGGAAAAATGGGGTTGCAGCCATTTATACAGCGAACATTTGTTGGGGCGGCTGGTGATTGAGCTACCCCTACAAATCTAACAGTAGGGGCGGCTGGTGAGTGAGCCGCCCCTACAAATCTACCCATTTGTAGGGGCGGCTCGTATCACCAGCCACCCCTACTGTTAGATTTGTAGGGGCGGCTAGAATCATGGGACCCGAGCTCACCCACTGTAGGGGCGGTTGGTAGTGGAACCGCCCCTACAAAAGAAAGCCCCCGTTGCTAAAAATCGTTTTTTGTGGTAGTGTAGGAAAAAAACACTTGGCAAAACAGAGACACTCGGCAACAAACCGCCACATGAACATCCATCAGTTAGTGTGCCGGCCGTTAGGAGTTTGTCGAGTGTCCGTTAGTGGCACTCGGCAAAGAACTAAGTTCGCCGAGTGTTTTTTTTGCACTCATCAAATAAATAATTTTTTTTCTCTTCTGGCCTTAAAACTTTTTTAACTCTCCACATACAACATGTGGTATTCTATGTTAAGATTTGGTATATTTCTAGATCTGTTTGCTATATTTAATTAATTAATTGTATTTCAAGGAATTTTTTTGGTATAAGTCAAATTTGAACCGCAAGTGATTCAAATAATAGAATAAAATGAGTAGAAAAATGATATTCATGTTATTGAGTCCAGTGTCAGGCCTTACCCGGGAAATAAAAAGAAATTTCGAACATCTGGTTCAGGAAACACGACCACGAACGTGTGGCCAAATGGTTTTTAAATTTTAAAAAAAACAAACGAAGTCTGAAAATCATAAGATTTGTCAAGATCTCATGCTATCATACGTGGAGGCTGTGGTAAAAAATTGAGAAGGTTTCGCATAATTTTTCACGTACGATGCTTACAAACCGAAACATCTCAAAAGAAGAATCGTAGCGTTGAGAAGGATTCAGTAAAATTTGGAGTCAAAGTGACTGGTCGAATTGGAGTTTAACTTCAAAACTTTTTGTATAGGCAATAGAGAACATAGATTGTTTTATGTGAAATTTTGGTAATTTTTTTGGATCCGTTTGATTATTTTAATTTATTAAGTGCAATCATAGAATTTTAATTGGTATAAATTAAATTTGAGCTGTAACTGCATAAAATAATGGAATAATATTCCTAGAAAATTAAATATATATTATTGAGTCAATTTGACAAGGTATTTTCAAAGTACATCGGAATAAATTGAGAAAAACACGGCCTGGAAAAGAAGGAGAAGAAGGAAAATAAAAAAAAAAAGGTTTGCCGAGTGCCCATTATGTGGCACTCAGCAAAGCTGGCGTTTGCCGAGTGCCAGACCTGGGACACTCGGCAAACCCTCTCACCGGCCCCACACACGCACAAAAGTTTAGGGTTTGAAACTGAAAAAAAACAAAATGTGTTTGACGAGTGCTAGATCACGGGCACTCGATAAACCTCCTGCTAACCACCCCAGGCCGGCCTCACCCACACGCACACATGCACACACACAGCCACCACACGCACACACGCATCCCACCGCCGCCCCCTGCACCCGGCATCCGTGGAAAAACATGTTATGGAAAAGAAGGAGAAGAAGGAAAATGGGAAAAAATAGGTTTGCCGAGCGCCCCTTATCTGGCACTCGGCAAATCTGCGGTTTGCCGAGTGTCAGACCTGGAACACTTGGCAAACCCCCTAGCCACATCAGCGATCTGTGTCTCCAAAATGGAGCTCTCCCATTAGCCCAAACTCCTCTCCCTAGATCCCTCCCCTCTTATCCCTTCCCTATCCCCCTCTCTCTCTCTCCTTATCCATTCCGGTGATCATGGCGGCGTGGGGCGGCGTGGCACTCCGGCAGCCGGGGCACACGGACGATGGCGTGGGGTGGTGCGGCACTCCTACGGCTGTGGCGGGTAGGGCAGCGCGGGCGGCGCGACACTCCGGTGGCTGTGGTGGGCGGGGCGGCCGGGGTCGGCCTGGACACTCGGCAAAGACAGGCATATTTGCCGAGTGTTAGGGCCGGGGCACTCGACAAACAAGGTCATATTTGTCGAGTGCTGAGGCCGTTAGACACTCGGCAAACACGCCATGACCGTCTCCGCGCTGCCACGTTACTTTTTTTCTCTGAGCGTTTGTTTTAGCACTCGACGACGTCTTTACCTAGTGCCCGATAAAAACACTCGGCAAATAAACTTTTGCTGTCACTGTATATGCCGAGTGCCGTTTGGCGAGTATAACACTTGACAAAGCCTTTGTTGAGTGTTTTTTTTGGGCTTCGCCGTGTGACGTGGACACACGGCAATGGGCATTCGGGTAGTGGTTCCTCAGGCAAGGGATCATGGCGCTCGGCGTCGCGAGAGCCGAGTGCGGATTGTAGCTGAGATGGTGCGCGCCAATTGGCTCCTCCTCGCTGAAGCGAATGTAGCTAGGACGGCCACCTGAGTCGTGTTCCTATGAATGGAAGGCTAGTGACAGCGTCTCTAGGTTCGGGGCGTGCTCAAGGACCGTGCTTACCGCAGCGATAGCGATAGCTCTGGTGTCGTCATCGGCAACGAGAAGGCATCCCCTCATCTCGAGGTGGAGGAGGCTCGAGAATGAAGCCAACCTCGTAACCATAGGCACGTCCTTTTCCAAGCTAGAGCCGAGGTGAGCAGACTCGAGGTGCAGGTGTTTGGCGTTCACGAACAGCTGCAAAAGCTGCCTCAGGTTGACGAGGCCGAGCTCCAACTCTCAAGTGGCTTCTTTTCCGTAGATGTCGACCTTGCATTAAGCGATCCTCGTGGAGCCGCCGTGCATGGTCCGGAACGAGCTGCCGGGCACGGCGCCCCTATGCTCGAATGCTTGTAGCTCTGACAAGTCGACGACGACGGCCGTCAGGTTGTGGCAGCAGTGGAGGGCCAGCCTGCGAGCGTCAGGTCGGCGAGGCACCGGCAGCAGGCGATGAGTTGCTCCACGTCGCTCTCGGGATCGAAGACGTGGGACAGGAGCAGAGTTACCAGGGATGGCAGGCTGACGGTGTCGGGCGGGGTGAGCCTGCAGGAGCTGAGGGAGAGCGACTGTAGGTGGGCGCAGGAGAAGATCACTCTCGTTGCGGTGTACTCCGACACACTCCACGACCACCAGTCAGAAGATCTCTCGCAGATTGGGGAGCGGCACTGGAGGCGGAGGTCAAGGTCGAGGCCCTCGGCGGCGACCTACTGCACGGCATACGAGACCCACTGGTCCACCATCAAGGAATCACCGCCGCTATTGCTTTTCCATGACGACGTGGTTGGCTCGTAGGGGTACCGCGTCGCGTCGTCGTTGGTGGGCGATGATCGCGGCGCTGATGATGATGTAGTAGGGCGACGGCGCGTTGGGGTCCCTGGAACGGCGATACTCCGAGGTGTGGCAGACGAAGTCGTCGTAGTCGAGGATCGGGCTCTTTTGGCTCCACGAGGGAGACGGTGTGCACGGCGGTGAAAATGTGGCACCACCGCGACGACAGCATCGCCGCGTGCGCCGCCTCCTCAGCCGGGAGGAAGGAGAGGATGTGGCCGAGTGCGTGGTCTGTGAGCTTGTTCAGGCGGTCGCCGCTGCCGGAAGACTTGATTTTTCTTTTCCTGGTGAGTGCGCCGCCGGAGGATGACGCTTCGAGGAGCTATCCATCATGCCCATGCCCGTGGGATCACAAACCACCTATGTATCTGATGAGATCTGATTGATTTTAGGGATAGCTTCCCTTACTTTTATGGATGGTTCATAGATCAGGGTCGGTGCATTGTCAATCAGAGTTGGTTTCTGGATGCACAAAATGCGCCACCAACTTGGATGGCCGAGATCCATAAAAGACGGTGTAAGGTGAGATCGCATCGCAATTCACAACACCGTTGAGCGCCGACGATGACGACGAGCGGCGGCGGCGACGACCGTTTGTCCGACCTCTCCGACGACGACCGCTTGTCCGAGCTCTCTGACGACCTTCATCGGCGCATCCTCTACTTCGTCCCCTCCAAGGAGGCTGCTTCCACCAGCGTGTTCTCGCAGCGGCGGGGCTCGCTCTGGCGGTCGTCAACCTCGCCGTCCAAGTCTACGATTCCCAAAGAGACGGTATGGCGGATCCTACTCCTACTCCTACCAAGAGGCCGAGGACGCCATTTTCTCATACAAAGAGGCCTTTGTCCACGGCGCCAAGGCTGCGCTCGACGCCGCCGAGGCCCCCATCACAAGGCTCACCTTGCGTGTGGAGTCCAACGACGGCGACAACCCCATCGACCAGTTCCTCCTTCGCAGTAGGGATTGGTGCAGAGGCGATGATGTGGTCGGCGCTCTAGTCTCCCACCAAGCGGCGTGACACATTTAGGAGCTCCGCATCGCCACCGTCGACGTCTCCTACAGCTTCCTCTACTTGGAGGAAGAGAACCACAGGGACAAATGGATCTATGGGCTCACCTCCCTCCCGTCATCGGACACCCTCCGCGTGCTGGACCTCACCAGGTGTAACATGACGGCCGCCTTCTCACTCCCACGGCTGGCAACGTTGTGGCTAAGGTTGTTGGATTAGATTCTCTCTCAATTCTCGCTGGAACGCTCTCCTTTCCTCTCTCGCTATCTGTGGTTTCGCGATGAACTCGATGAACAGCGCCGTGAACTCGACGAACTCGCGTTCAAGCACAGAGACAGGGAATTGGCGTAGCGCACAAACTTACTACCTTTTCTTCTCCTTTTATTGACACACACCATTATAGGCTCGGCAAGGCCACGAACACCATCGCCCACATCCCGATCTTCTTGCTGCGCCATCCCACAGCCATGGAACATGGGTGTCAATGTCGGGCCAAGTTTCACCACTCACGCACACTTGCATGGAAAGAAAGGCGCGCACGGCACTGAACTGGCCGCGCTCATCGCTAATCTAGGACACGCCTAAAATAGAATACATGCAATGCAACAAATTTTATCACAACAATCTCCCCCTTAATTATGTTGCGTTGCTCTTGTGTTGATGATGCCACTCTGAGCACGCAACTCCTATAGTCGATCGCGTGGAAGCGGCTTCGTGAGCAAGTCCGCTAGCCGATCTCCGGTCCTGACGTAGTCCGTCTCCAAAGTGCCATTGTTGATGCAGTCTCGAATGAAATGGAAACGAACATCAATGTGCTTACTCCTTTCGTGAAGCACCGGATTCTTGGCGAGAGCCAGCGCAGACTTGTTGTTGATGTAGAGCAGTGGCGCGACAGCCTTCACGTTCACCAAGTCCGCCAGCAACTTGGAAAGCCAAACTCCTTGGCATGCCACGGTGGCACCGGCGATGTACTCTGCTTCGCACGACAATAGCTCCACCACATGCTATTTCTGTGACTGCCAGCTCATAGGGCTCTAGCCGAGGAAGAAGAAGGCAACAGAGGTACTCTTTCGATTGTCACAGTCCCCGGCCAGGTCGGTGTCGCTGTAGCCGATCAGCTCCAGTGCACCCTCACCACGTCTATAGACACAGCCGTGAGAGCGCGTACCTGAAATGTACCTGAGGATCCAGTGTTCCGTTGTTGGCGCCTCCATGAGCCTGCTCACCATGCCCACCGCGAACGCGATGTCTGGACGCATATGCACCAGGTATCGCAGACTCCCGATGATGCTGCGATACAGTGTGGCATCAACAGGTGGGTTGGAGCTCACCTTGCTCAACTTCAACCGTGGCTCCATGGGAGTGTTGCATGGATTACACCCCTTCAGCCCGGCCCTTTCAATGATCTTGTCAGCGTACGCGCTCTGGCACAACGTGATGCCGTTCGCGCTCTGCTGCACTTCGATCCCTAGGTAGTAGTGTAGAGGGCTGAGATCACTCATGCTGAAGAGCCTTGCCATCTCCAACTTGAAGCGTTTGACCTCCATCTGGTTCGCCCCAACCACGACGAGATCATCCACATAGACACTGACAAGTAGCAGGTCGTCGCCGGTTCCGCGCACGTACATGGTGTGCTTCATCGCGCTGCACTTGAACCCAAGTTTCAGCAGGGAGCTGTCTAACTTGGCGTTCCAGGCCCTGGGCGCCTGCCTGAGCCCATACAGCGCCTTGTGTAGCTTGTACACCTTCCGCTCCTTACCCCATACAACATTGCCCGGCGGCTGCTCGACGTAAACTTCCTCCACCAGGTCGCCGTTCAAGAACACCAACTTCATGTCGAGGTGGTGCACCGTCCACCCTCGATGCGCGGCGATGGTGAGGAGAAACTATACAGATTCCAGACATGCCACGGGCGCGAACACCTCCTCAAATTCAACGCCGGCGCGCTACACGTACCCCTTCGCCACCAAACGAGCCTTGTGCCTGGTGATGTTGTCGTCGGCGTCGCGCTTGATCTTGAACACCCACTTGAGCCCGATCAGCTTCGCTTCAGGTGGTGCTTCAGTGAGCGTCCAAGTCTTGTTGTCAGCAATGGACTTCAGCTCCTCTGCCATTGCCATCTTCCACTCCTTATGACCCGACGCCTCGTCGTAGGTGGTGGGTTCCTCATCGACAGCCAGGAGCAGATCACCATCTGCCACCAGCTCATCGTCGTCGTACAGCAGGTTGTCCATGATCCTGAACCGATGTGTGAGCCCCTCATCGTCATCCGCATCCAGCGTCTCCAGCGCTACAGAGGTAGGGGACGCGAACTCGACGGGGACCTGATCCTTCGGTGGTAGTTCACCTTGCCACGGAACTAGACCTCCTTGGACTCGTGGCGTGCGCGATGACGACATGGTTGTGGGCGCCACTGATGAAGCCGATTCCCCGGGCATGGAACCCGATGGTGTCGAGCCCAGTGGGGTCGGTGCCGCGCTTGGTGATGCAGCGTGACCCCCCGGTGAGGCCATCGTGGAGCCGGGTCCTGCTGGTGTGGCAGCGACCGTCTCCTCTTCGCCTGGACTCACCCATTCATCCTCCACCACAAAACCGCCTTGCTCAACACTATTCATGATCTCTCCATTGTCGCCTTTGTCAGATGCGCCCCAGTCCCAGGTCGCCCCTTCTTCAAACACCGCATTGCGCGTGATATGCACACGGTTTGCAGTGGGATTGAACACCCTGTACGCCTTTGATCCCTCCTCATAGCCGATCAGCACCATCTTCCGGCTCCTATCGTCTAGCTTCCCCACGTTTGGCTTTGTGACCTTGACATGAGCCAGCCGAACACATGTAGGAAGTGGACGGCTGGCTTGACACCGTACCACGCCTCATATGGCGTCCGACCCACCAGGCTCCGCGTCAGGGCTCGATTCAAGAGGAAGACAGCTGTCATCACAGCCTCCCCCCAAAGCTAGGCCGGAACATTCTTGGCCTTCATCATGCTCCGCGCCATGGCAAGCACGGACTGGTTCCTCCGCTCCACCACGCCGTTTTGTTGGGGACTATACGGCGTGGTCAGGTGATGCTTGATGCTGTGCTCGGTGCAGTACTAGAGGAAGCTCGCCGGCATGAACTCCCTCCCATGATTAGTGCGGAATGCTTGAATCCGCCGCCCAGCTTCATTCTCGACGCCAGCGTGCAGGCATTTGAACGCGTTCTCGGCGTCCGACTTGTTTGCGAGCAGGACCGCCCACATGTACCTGGACATATCATCGACGATGAGCATGATGTACTTCTTACCACAGGGAGTTGGCGGTGTCACCACGCCACATAGATCACCATGGATCAGCTCTAGGGGCTTGGTGGCGTGGTACTTGGCCGCCTGTGGGAACGTCGCTCGATGTTGCTTCCCAGCCAGGCACATGTCGCAGATGTGCTCGACGTGCTCGATGGAGGGCAGCCCGCGCACCATGCCACCGCTACTCATCTTCTGTAGGGCCTGGAACCCCAGATGGTCGAAACGAGCATGCCACCTCCACTCGTCGAAGCTTGCGGCCAAACACACTAGCCTGGTCGGCTTGAGCGGCAGGATGTACAGGCGATTAGGCGTGCGCTTCACCTTGGCCAGCAGCTCCTGGCTCCCCTTGTCCCACATTCGGAGGACGCCGTTGTCGATGTCGATCTTGCAGCCTGCTTCGTCGAGCTGCCCGATGCTGCTGCGGAGCCGCGGGATGTAGTATACGTCGTGGAACGCCCGGTGGCCGCTGTCCTTCAACTCAAACAGGATGGTGCCGCGCCCCGCTATCTCCACCAGGGAGCCATCCCCGAACTTCACGGGTCCGATGACACCGTGACTGAGCTCGGAGAAGATGGACGCGTCGCCGGTCATGTGATTCAACGCACCGGTGTCGAGGTACCACTTCAACTCTCCGTGATCACCGCCATCCTCCATGTCCAGCACGACCTTGTGTTCGTTGAGGAAGACATGCTCGACGGGGCCTATTCTGTGGATGACCTTCTCCACCGGGGTCACCACGGCCACGTACAGAGAGGCTGTCTCCTCCTCCGCCTTGACGAGGTTGGCCTAAGGCTGATTTGCCTGCGCCGCCGCCTTGTCACGCTTCTTCTTCTAGCACTCCTACTTCCAGTGCCCGGACTTGCCGCAGTAGTGGCAGGCGTCATCATCACCCTCCCGGCCGTTGCCCCCTTTGGGTGGCCCTGAACACGTTTCCTTCCCACGTTCCTTGCCACGGACCGTACCGCCGCGACGCTTGCCGGAGCCGACCGGCGCCTTGCCGCGCCCCGCTGACCCGTCGGAGTTGAGGTTGAGGTGGGACACGAGGCATGCCATCACCTGCTCCTCGGTGAAATACAGCTTGCCGTCGATCTCCTTGCCGCCGCCGCCGCCACCCGAGCCTCCGCCGCCTTTTCCTCTCCCACGATCGAGCCGTTCCTCAACCGCCTTGAGCCACCCCACCAACTCCTCTAGGGAGACTGCCTCGAGATTGAGGAGTCTCGATGGTCGCTGCAATTTGATGGAAGCGATCTGGAATGGCTTGAAGAAACTTATGGATGATCGTCTCTTCCTCGTAGGCATCACCCAAGATAGCGAGCTGGTTGATGATCGTCTCTTCCTTGAAGGCGAGGCCATTGAACTCTTGACGCAGAGTCTGCGCCCTGGCCTTCCACACCCGATCGACACCGATGTGGCGTGTCTTCAGTGCGTCCCATGCCGCCTTGGCCGTGGGCTTGTTGGCCATCGTCCCACGGAGCTCCTTCGGAACCGCCTTGCACAGCGCCTCTAGGGCGTTGCGGTCGTCGATGAAGCTGTTAGTGCCGACCTTGATGGCATCCCATAGGTGCCTGCCCTACAGCATGACGCGCATCAATGCCGCCCAGTTGGTGTAGTTTGTTCTCGTCAGCATTGGCCACCCAGCGTTGTTGCCGAGCTCCTTAACCGTGTGGTGAAGCACCAGCCCACGATCATCCCCGCCGCTACCTCTAGAGCGGCCGCCGGGTGGAGACCAAGACCGCCGCCGCCGCGGCGACCCTGAGTTGTTTCTCGGCATGAATGCTACGGTGATCGCTCGGTGACAATCCCAGCGACAAAATCGGGCTCCGATACCAGTTGTTGGATTAGATTCTCTCTCAATTCTCGCTGGAACGCTCTCCTTTCCTCTCTCGCTATCTGTGGTTTCGCGATGAACTCGATGAACAGCGCCGTGAACTCGACAAACTCGCGTTCAAGCACAGAGACAGGGAATTGGCGTAGCGCACAAACTTACTACCTTTTCTTCTCCTTTTATTGACACACACCATTATAGGCTCGGCAAGGCCACGAACACCATCGCCCACATCCCGATCTTCTTGCTGCGCCATCCCACAGCCATGGAACATGGGTGTCAATGTCGGGCCAAGTTTCACCACTCACGCACACTTGCATGGAAAGAAAGGCGCGCACGGCACTGAACTGGCCGCGCTCATCGCTAATCTAGGACACGCCTAAAATAGAATACATGCAACGCAACAAATTTTATCACAACAATCTCCCCCTTAATTATGTTGCGTTGCTCTTGTGTTGATGATGCCGCTCCGAGCACGCAACTCCTGCAGTCGATCGCGTGGAAGCGGCTTCGTGAGCAAGTCCGCTAGCTGATCTCCGGTCCTGACGTAGTCCGTCTCCAAAGTGCCATTGTTGATGCAGTCTCGAATGAAATGGAAACGAACATCAATGTGCTAACTCCTTTCGTGAAGCACCGGATTCTTGGCGAGAGCCAGCGCAGACTTGTTGTTGATGTAGAGCAGTGGCGCGACAGCCTTCACGTTCACCAAGTCCGCCAGCAACTTGGAAAGCCAAACTCCTTGGCATGCCACGGTGGCACCGGCGATGTACTCTGCTTCGCACGACAATAGCTCCACCACATGCTATTTCTGTGACTGCCAGCTCATAGGGCTCTAGCCGAGGAAGAAGAAGGCAACAGAGGTACTCTTTCGATTGTCACAGTCCCCGGCCAGGTCGGTGTCGCTGTAGCCGATCAGCTCCAGTGCACCCTCACCACGTCTATAGACACAGCCGTGAGAGCGCGTACCTGAAATGTACCTGAGGATCCAGTGTTCCGTTGTTGGCGCCTCCATGAGCCTGCTCACCATGCCCACCGCGAACGCGATGTCTGGACGCATATGCACCAGGTATCGCAGACTCCCGATGATGCTGCGATACAGTGTGGCATCAACAGGTGGGTTGGAGCTCACCTTGCTCAACTTCAACCGTGGCTCCATGGGAGTGTTGCACGGATTACACCCCTTCAGCCCGGCCCTTTCAATGATCTTGTCAGCGTACGCGCTCTGGCACAACGTGATGCCGTTCGTGCTCTGCTGCACTTCGATCCCCAGGTAGTAGTGTAGAGGGCCGAGATCACTCATGCTGAAGAGCCTTGCCATCTCCTCCTTGAAGCTTTTGACCTCCGTCTGGTTCGCCCCAACCACGACGAGATCATCCACGTAGACACCGACGAGTAGCAGTTCGTCGCCAGTTCCACGCACGTACACGGCGTGCTCCGCCGCGTTGCACCTGAACCCAAGTTTCAGCAGGGAGCTATCTAACTTGGCGTTCCAGGCCCTGGGCGCCTGCCTGAGCCCATACAACGCCTTGTGTAGCTTGTACACCTTCCGCTCCTTACCCCGGACAACATAGCCCGGCGGCTGCTCGACGTAAACTTCCTCCACCAGGTCGCCGTTCAAGAACACCAACTTCATGTCGAGGTGGTGCACCGTCCACCCTCGATGCGCGGCGATGGTGAGGAGAAACTATACAGATTCCAGACATGCCACGGGCGCGAACACCTCCTCAAATTCAACGCCGGCGCGCTACACGTACCCCTTCGCCACCAAACGAGCCTTGTGCCTGGTGATGTTGTCGTCGGCGTCGCGCTTGATCTTGAACACCCACTTGAGCCCGATCAGCTTCGCTTCAGGTGGTGCTTCAGTGAGCGTCCAAGTCTTGTTGTCAGCAATGGACTTCAGCTCCTCTGCCATTGCCATCTTCCACTCCTTATGACCCGACGCCTCGTCGTAGGTGGTGGGTTCCTCATCGACAGCCAGGAGCAGATCACCATCTGCCACCAGCTCATCGTCGTCGTACAGCAGGTTGTCCATGATCCTGAACCGATGTGTGAGCCCCTCATCGTCATCCGCATCCAGCGTCTCCAGCGCTACAGAGGTAGGGGACACGAACTCGACGGGGACCTGATCCTTCGGTGGTAGTTCACCTTGCCACGGAACTAGACCTCCTTGGACTCGTGGCGTGCGCGATGACGACATGGTTGTGGGCGCCACTGATGAAGCCGATTCCCCGGGCATGGAACCCGATGGTGTCGAGCCCAGTGGGGTCGGTGCCGCGCTTGGTGATGCAGCGTGACCCCCCGGTGAGGCCATCGTGGAGCCGGGTCCTGCTGGTGTGGCAGCGACCGTCTCCTCTTCGCCTGGACTCACCCATTCATCCTCCACCACAAAACCGCCTTGCTCAACACTATTCATGATCTCTCCATTGTCGCCTTTGTCAGATGCGCCCCAGTCCCAGGTCGCCCCTTCTTCAAACACCGCATTGCGCGTGATATGCACACGGTTTGCAGTGGGATTGAACACCCTGTACGCCTTTGATCCCTCCTCATAGCCGATCAGCACCATCTTCCGGCTCCTATCGTCTAGCTTCCCCACGTTTGGCTTTGTGACCTTGACATGAGCCAGCCGAACACATGTAGGAAGTGGACGGCTGGCTTGACACCGTACCACGCCTCATATGGCGTCCGACCCACCAGGCTCCGCGTCAGGGCTCGATTCAAGAGGAAGACAGCTGTCATCACAGCCTCCCCCCAAAGCTAGGCCGGAACATTCTTGGCCTTCATCATGCTCCGCGCCATGGCAAGCACGGACTGGTTCCTCCGCTCCACCACGCCGTTTTGTTGGGGACTATACGGCGTGGTCAGGTGATGCTTGATGCTGTGCTCGGTGCAGTACTAGAGGAAGCTCGCCGGCATGAACTCCCTCCCATGATTAGTGCGGAATGCTTGAATCCGCCGCCCAGCTTCATTCTCGACGCCAGCGTGCAGGCATTTGAACGCGTTCTCGGCGTCCGACTTGTTTGCGAGCAGGACCGCCCACATGTACCTGGACATATCATCGACGATGAGCATGATGTACTTCTTACCACAGGGAGTTGGCGGTGTCACCACGCCACATAGATCACCATGGATCAGCTCTAGGGGCTTGGTGGCGTGGTACTTGGCCGCCTGTGGGAACGTCGCTCGATGTTGCTTCCCAGCCAGGCACATGTCGCAGATGTGCTCGACGTGCTCGATGGAGGGCAGCCCGCGCACCATGCCACCGCTACTCATCTTCTGTAGGGCCTGGAACCCCAGATGGTCGAAACGAGCATGCCACCTCCACTCGTCGAAGCTTGCGGCCAAACACACTAGCCTGGTCGGCTTGAGCGGCAGGATGTACAGGCGATTAGGCGTGCGCTTCACCTTGGCCAGCAGCTCCTGGCTCCCCTTGTCCCACATTCGGAGGACGCCGTTGTCGATGTCGATCTTGCAGCCTGCTTCGTCGAGCTGCCCGATGCTGCTGCGGAGCGGGATGTAGTATACGTCGTGGAACGCCCGGTGGCCGCTGTCCTTCAACTCAAACAGGATGGTGCCGCGCCCCGCTATCTCCACCAGGGAGCCATCCCCGAACTTCACGGGTCCGATGACACCGTGACTGAGCTCGGAGAAGATGGACGCGTCGCCGGTCATGTGATTCAACGCACCGGTGTCGAGGTACCACTTCAACTCTCCGTGATCACCGCCATCCTCCATGTCCAGCACGACCTTGTGTTCGTTGAGGAAGACATGCTCGACGGGGCCTATTCTGTGGATGACCTTCTCCACCGGGGTCACCACGGCCACGTACAGAGAGGCTGTCTCCTCCTCCGCCTTGACGAGGTTGGCCTAAGGCTGATTTGACTGCGCCGCCGCCTTGTCACGCTTCTTCTTCTAGCACTCCTACTTCCAGTGCCCGGACTTGCCGCAGTAGTGGCAGGCGTCATCATCACCCTCCCGGCCGTTGCCCCCTTTGGGTGGCCCTGAACACGTTTCCTTCCCACGTTCCTTGCCACGGACCGTACCGCCGCGACGCTTGCCGGAGCCGACCGGCGCCTTGCCGCGCCCCGCTGACCCGTCGGAGTTGAGGTTGAGGTGGGACACGAGGCATGCCATCACCTGCTCCTCGGTGAAATACAGCTTGCCGTCGATCTCCTTGCCGCCGCCGCCGCCACCCGAGCCTCCGCCGCCTTTTCCTCTCCCACGATCGAGCCGTTCCTCAACCGCCTTGAGCCACCCCACCAACTCCTCTAGGGAGACTGCCTCGAGATTGAGGAGTCTCGATGGTCGCTGCAATTTGATGGAAGCGATCTGGAATGGCTTGAAGAAACTTATGGATGATCGTCTCTTCCTCGTAGGCATCACCCAAGATAGCGAGCTGGTTGATGATCGTCTCTTCCTTGAAGGCGAGGCCATTGAACTCTTGACGCAGAGTCTGCGCCCTGGCCTTCCACACCCGATCGACACCGATGTGGCGTGTCTTCAGTGCGTCCCATGCCGCCTTGGCCGTGGGCTTGTTGGCCATCGTCCCACGGAGCTCCTTCGGAACCGCCTTGCACAGCGCCTCTAGGGCGTTGCGGTCGTCGATGAAGCTGTTAGTGCCGACCTTGATGGCATCCCATAGGTGCCTGCCCTACAGCATGACGCGCATCAATGCCGCCCAGTTGGTGTAGTTTGTTCTCGTCAGCATTGGCCACCCAGCGTTGTTGCCGAGCTCCTTAACCGTGTGGTGAAGCACCAGCCCACGATCATCCCCGCCGCTACCTCCAGAGCGGCCGACGGGTGGAGACCAAGACCGCCGCCGCCGCGGCGACCCTGAGTTGTTTCTCGGCATGAATGTTGCGGTGATCGCTCGGTGACAATCCCAGCGACAAAATCGGGCTCCGATACCAGTTGTTGGATTAGATTCTCTCTCAATTCTCGCTGGAACGCTCTCCTTTCCTCTCTCGCTATCTGTGGTTTCGCGATGAACTCGATGAACAGCGCCGTGAACTCGACAAACTCGCGTTCAAGGACAGAGACAGGGAATTGGCGCAGCGCACAAACTTACTGCCTTTTCTTCTCCTTTTATTGACACACACCATTACAGGCTCGGCAAGGCCACGAACACCATCGCCCACGTCCCGATCTTCTTGCTGCGCCATCCCATAGCCACGGAACGTGGGCGTCAATGCCGGGCCAAGTTTCACCACTCACGCACACTTGCATGGAAAGAAAGACGTGCACGGCGTTGAACTGGCTGCGCTCACCGCTAATCTAGGACACGCCTAAAATAGAATACATGCAACGCAACAAATTTTATCACAACAAAGGTACTGCTCCATTGAGGCGAAGGTTCTCTAGGCCCTGTTGGACGCCGCGATGGAGCTCACCACCGTGCAACTGGAGTCTCTCTTCTTCTTGTTGCCACGGAAGCCCCAGCCTAATGAACTCATCAACAGGGCAGAACCAGCACAACCGGTGCTCCACCTGAGTTTCCAGGCCATGACCACGCTCGTGCTGTCGTCGTGCGGCATGCACATGTAGGTACAAGGTTCAGGAGATCGCCGTGGGAGCAGCTGGGCCATCGAGATTGATGCACCGAGGCTGCAATCCTTCAAATACAAGGGTCTCATGCGATGGTTCGTTCTAGGACTGGAGGCAGCTGGTGTTGCATCGGTGGACCTGCACTTCCGCCAGAACCATGATGACAGAGAAACAATACACGCGTTCTTCTGGCAGTTTGTGCACAACTTCACCAATGCCAGGACCGTCAAGCTCAAGGTGGACAACAACCTCAAGGACATTGCTGCCATTGGTGAGAAGAGGCGCGCCAGGCTCCTGCAGTGTGTGTTGCCTGGCGTGGAGTGCCTCGAGCTGGAAGGGATGCATTGTCCTGAGAGCGTGGAGTACCTCGAGCTAGAAGGGATGCATTGTCCCGAGGGCGAGACGGCGGCTGTGGCCATTGCCAACCTGCTCGATTGCTGCCCTGTTCTTGGTGAATTCATGCTGAAGCTGAGCCCTATGTCAGCTCTCCCTCTCAAGGATTCATGATATGGACAAGAGTTCTTGAAAAGGAAAGATAGATCGGATTACAGCAAGTCCATCGATCGCTTCGCGCGTCGCCGGAAATCAAAGACAAACATCTCCATGGAGGATATAATTTTTGGTGATAAATACTCCTATAATGATGTTCTTGGTATTCCTGGTCTCAGTGGCAACTCATTCGCCTGCTTGCAACGCACTCTGAGAAGAGTAGGCCTACAGTTCCGACTGGACAACAACTCTATCTCCAGCTGCCTTGGACTGCGCCTTATCAAATTCTTTGCTGACCATGCCAGGGTTCTTGAAGAAATGTGTGTTGACACTGGCAACCAGAGACTGCACGAGCACCTCAACTTCAATGTGGACACACAGATAGCACTCGCACCTATACCTATCTCAGCCACAGCTTCTATCTAGCACAAGAATCTAGCAGAAAGTTAGTTCGAATTTTCCAAAATTTCTGGTGCAACCCTTGATTCTGTTAGCCCCATGATCTCACGGAACGGATGAGCCGATCACTCACCAACGTTGCCGACTACACACTATGGCTGAAGCTAGAAGAAGGAAAGAAGAACAAAGCACACACATAGCACAAGCACCAGCGTTGGCCGAAGCTCTGCAGAGAAGATGGCAAAACTGAAATCGCTCTCTTTACTTAGTTGCAGTGGCAAACTATATATATATAACTCTACTCATCTAATCCTAGTACACAGACATGTCAGGCTACCATGCTGCTACAGTGACTAGATGTGACAGCAGGGCTGACTTTGGTGCCTGCCCCTACTGTGGCTACAGTGCGGTAGGAGAGCCGTTCGGCGCCTGCCCCTACTGTGGCTACAATACACACAGCAGGGAGCCTTTTCGGCACCGCCTGCTCCTACCGTGCGTTCACACAGGGGAGCAGCAGATTACTTAACAATTCTTTCCCTAATCCTACTGCTAACCCTTGAACCCCCTCCATGTTGATCATATCCTTCAGCTCCGTGAACTGAAGACGGTCGAGCAGCTTGGTGAGGATGTCCGCGAGTTGCCGACCAGTTTTGACGAACTCGATTATGATCTTCACTCCATCAACATAGTCCCTGAGGAAATGGAGCTTGACGTCGATGCGCTTGCTCCGGTCGTGGAGAAACAGATTCTTCACGAGGGCGATGGCGGGCTGGTTGTCCACCATCAGTGCTGGTGGGTGAGCTTCCACACTGGTCAGCTCACCCAGCAGCCGGCGTAGCCATACAGCTTGGCACGTCGCTATGGCCACCGCCACGTACTCTGCCTCGCACGTGGACAGTGCCACCACCTTCTGTTTCAGCGACAGCCATGTGATTGGAGCCAACCCGAGGAAGACGAGCATGCCAGAGGTGCTCCGCCATCCATCGATGTCCTCTGCCATGTCTGCATCGCTGAACATAGTTAGCTGCAGCCTACTTCCATAGGTCTTGGGGAAGACAATGCTCTGATCCACCATCCCCTTTATGTAGCGCAGCAGCCGCTTCACCACAGCCCAGTGATCCTCTCGAGGATCCTCCATGAAGCGGCTTACGTAGCCCACGGCGAACGCAATGTCCGGCCTCATGTGGACTAGATAGCGCAGACCGCCGACGATGCTCCGGTAGAGTGTTGCATCTACCTTCGTCGTGGTACTGGCCTTCGTCAGCTTCAGCCGCTCCTCCATCGGAGTCACGCACGGCTTGCACTCAGCCATGCCGCTCCGCTCCAACAGCTTCAAGGCGTATGCGCTCTGACCAAGCGTGAGCGCCTCCTTCCCCTGTTTCACCTCGATGCCGAGGTAGTAGGAGGGCACGTCGAGATCGCTCATTCAAAAACGAGCTGCCATCTCGCGCTTGAAGCTATCGATGTCTTCCGCACGCGCGCCGGTGATGATCAAATCGTCCACATACACGCCGACGCTGAGCTCCTTCCCTGTCACTGCGTGTAGAGCGCGTGCTCAGTTGCGCACCTTGTGAACCCAAGCTCGCTCAACGTGGAGTCAATATTGGCGTTCTACGCTCGTAGGGCCTGCCGCAGCCCGTAGAGCGCCTTGCGCAGTCAAAGCACCATGTGCTCCGCTCCCTTGACTGCAAAACCCAGAGGTTGCCTGACGAAGACCGTCTCCACCAGCTCGCCATTGAGGAAGGCCGATTTTATGTCCAGATGATGGACGTGCCAGTCCTTCGCTGCTGCCAAAGCCAAAAGCAGTCGGACAGACTCCATACGCGTTACCAGCGCAAAGACTTCCTCGAAGTCTATGCCCTCGCGCTGGACAAAGCCTCTGGCGATGAGGCACGCCTTGTGCTTGACAATGGCGCCATGTTCATCCCACTTGACCTTGTACACCCACTTCAGGCCAATCGGATGGCATCCTGGAGTGGATCGACGAGCTCCCAAGTCTTGTTTTCCTCGATCGCCTTCATCTCCTCTAGCATTGCCCGTCGCCAATTTGCATTGCGCTCAGCCAACGCGAACATGGGTGGTTCCTCTGCACTGATGAGAAGCAGCTCTGGGTCTTTAAGCAGTCGACCCGCCAGGGCTGAGGGCCCTGTGTCACCGACGATGTCATCCAGCCTATGGAACCGCACCTCCTCACCGTCGTGGAAGGCATCCACGAACTCAGTGATGTTGCTTGGTGGGGTGGCAAACTCGATTGGCTTCGATGGAGTTCCCTGTTCCATCGGAGTGGTCAGCACAGCACCTGGAGTGCTCGGTACCCCAGTTGCAGTGCTCGGCACTACTCCTAGACTACCCGTCACTACTCTTGGAGTGGTCGGCACCACTGTAGGAGTGATCGACACTAGTCTTGGAGTGGTCGGCATCACTGCAAGACCTCTCAGCTCCGCTATGGGAGCATTCAGCACCCGTCCTAGATTGGTCTGCACCACTACAGGACCGCTTGGCACCACTCCTGGAGTGCTCGGCACCCCTCCCGGAGTGCTCGGCACCGCCATAGGAGTGCTTGGCTCTGTTGCTGGAGTGGTCGGCACCTCCTCTCCACCGTCTCCACCACCGTGGATGACCAAGTGCTCAACGATGAAGGTGCTGGTGAAGCCGCTAGCTTCCCCCGTGCCCAGACTATCCCAGTCCTAGGCTGCCTTCTCGTCGAACACGATGTTGCATGAGACAAGTACCTTGCCTCCGCGTGGGTCATAGAGCCGGTACGCCTTGGTACCTTTCACGTAGCCCGGGAGCACCATCGGTGTGCTCCTGTCCTCCAGCTTGGTGAGGACTGGCTTCATCTTCCTGACATGGCCGATGCAGCCGAATGTCTAGAGGAAGGACACATTCGGCTTGCATCCATGCCAACCTCGAACGGCGTCTTACCCTTCAGGGCCTTGGTGGGCGCGCGATTGAGGATGAACACTGTCGTGGTCACCGCCTCACCCCAGAACCTTGCCAGCATGCTCTTGGCCTTCATCATGGATCGAGCCATGCCGACCACCATCTGATTCCGCCGCTCCACCACGCCATTTTGCTGTGGCGAGTATGGTGTGGTGTGGTGTCGCACCACACCCTGATCCATGCAGTACGTAGCGAACTCCATCGAAGTGAATTCGCCGCCGCGATCAGTCCTCAGCACGCGCAGCTTCTTGCCGCTCTCCACCTCCGCGCACGCTTTGAACTTCTTGATCGCCGCCGTCGCCTTGTCCTTGCTCATCAGGAGTTGTAGCCACATATAGCGACTATAATCATCCACAAGCAGGAGGAAGTACCGCCAACCACCGTTTGTGGCTGGCATGATTGGCCCGCAGAGATCACCATGGACGAGCTCGAGAGCGTCCCCCGCGTGATACTTGGCCGCCTTTGGGAACGGTAGCCTCCTCTACTTCCCGACCAGGCAGCTGTCACATAGCTCGCCTGCGTGCTCGATGTGAGGCAGCACTCGGACCATCTTTTCCAGCTGACCAAACGCGTCAAAGCTAAGATGGCCGAACCGGGCATGCCACAGCCACGACTCCTCGGTGTGCCATGCTGCCAGGCACACTAGATGCTCCACCTTCAAATCGAGCAGTCGGTTCTGGGACCTCTTCATCTTGGCAAGAGGGCGCTGCTCCTAGTCCCTGATCCTGAGGACGCCATCCTTGATCAGTACCTCGCTACTGCACTCATCCAGCTGGCCAATGCTGAT